CCCGCCGGTGCCCCGGCCGTGTCCTTGTGCGGCTGGAGCCCCGCAAGCACCTTCTCCCTCTTCACCGTGAAGCGGCTTTTGCCGTTTCCACCAGACCCCTCCTTAAACCTCCTTTTTTTCCCCCTCAGCCCTGCTGAGCTTTGCACATGCCCCGGCTGCCTGGCTAAGCCTGCTGCCCCTCGCTTTGCAGGGTAAAGGACACAGCAAGCAGATCCTGGTGCTGGGCCTGGACGGGGCAGGGAAGACTAGTGTCCTCCACTCCCTGGCAACTAGCCACGTCAAGCGCAGCGTGGCCCCCACCGAGGGCTTCAATGCCATCTGCGTCAGCACCGAAGAGTCCCAGATGGAGTTCCTGGAGAGTGAGTGAACCTGGTTTTAGTAAGGGATGTAAACTAAGTTCCTATCCTGTGCCCTCGGGATCAGGCCTGTATTTTAAAAGCTCCATGTTCCCTGGTGCCTGCTCTGATAATGTGAAGTTGTGATTATTTTCTCCTTGGGGATTCTGCTTTCCCACCCTGCTTCTTGGAGGAGATGATACACTGGTGATGGAGGAGGTCTGTGTTCGTTCAGCCTTTTCCTCCAAGGAGTTCGTCTCCCAGAGAGAGCAGGGTAACATGTCTGATTGTGTGAAACCAGCCCGAAGCAGAGGTGTCCACAGTAAGCCCTGCGTTGTGGTCCGTAGCCGTTGTGTGTTGTACAGCTTCTCCTTGGTGCGCATGCCTGGCAAAGGGCAAGAGCTGAAGACGAATAAATAATAAGGTGAAAGAAGAGAGGAGGAAGAGGAAAGCTTTGTACTCTTTTTGTTCAAAAGCCTCCTAAGTGGTGTTTTCTAGTCTTTTGAATGTCCGTAGGTTTTCACTAAACTTTCTGTGTTGTCCTTAGCGCTGATTTTTGGGTATCGTCCGTGCCTGCAGGGAGCATCTGCTGTGATGTTTTTGAGGTGTCACGGCGGTTCTAGGTGCAGCTAGCTGATGGGGAAGGTAGAGGCCCTGGAGTCAGGTCAGTCCCTGGTGCAGAGGGGCGGACAGCCTAGCCTCATCGCTGCCTGCCTTCTGCGGAGGCAGAAGCTGCCCTTTGCTTCTTGCTGTTTCTGCACTGTGCTGTACCAGTGCTCGACTGGCTCAGCTGGCAGCTAGCCCACAGACACCTCTGTACCTTTGTCAGCAGACCCAAAGGAGTTGTGTGCTGATCCCAGGTAAGTTTTTGGGATGTGAGGATGAGGCCGCTAAGGCAGAGTTTCGTGCCCGGTCCTGGTACCGTAGGAGTCTCTGCGGTGCCTTAGGGAAATCATCTCTCCAGAGATACTTGTAGTCTGTGCCCCTCTCCTAGTAGGTATGAGACATCTGTGTCTGCTACTGGGAGGTGCTTTGTCAAGCTGAGCCCAGAGGAACCCACAGCATCTCTGCTCCTGCCTGGGGCTGGCCTGGGCCTGGCGCTGCGCACCCCGCGGCAGAACCTGTTGTGTCTGAGTCGTCCTTCCCTCTCTGGTCCAGGTTGGTAGTGACTGAGATGTGATGGCTGCGGTCTGACCCGTGGGAAATGAAATGTCTCAGGCCAGTTTCAGCCAGGTAAATCCCTGCATGGCTCTCTAATCTGGTTACTTATCCAGTCTGTACCATCGCCTAGCCCAGGGGTTAGCAGCGTGTGCTGTGATCACGTGGCACAAGGTGACAGCAGGGTTTGTATTTTGCTGGCTTAGACAGATAGAAAACTGTTCTGTCTTTTTCTTTATACTATCATATAGATAAGTGAGTGGTTTCTTGCCTCTGCGAGGGATAGGAGCTCCTGGCTTCTGTTGAGTTCCTGCTGGTTTGGGAAAAAAGAATGTTCTCTGCGAGGTTGCTGACCCCTGGGTTATGCTATGCATGAATGCAGTTAACAAAGGGAACGGTGATGAGCCCCGACAACACCACGATACGGAATCAGAGACACCTGACCCAGGCGTGATGTGTCAGTCACAGCCCCTTGGCTCCTTTCCACGGTGGCAGACTTGCACTTCTGCCTGCAGATACGCTGGGGCTCTTGAAGAAGAGGTGGGCATGCTGTAGTGGAAGATGTTGCTTCCCTTCCTACATTCTTGAAACTACTGAATCATTTTGACTTAAGTGAAAGCAAAATTGCTTTGAAATAGAACAAAGTCACTGAGGGCAGTAAAAGATGGCTGACTAGCAAGTTAGTTTTGAAAAGAACTCCTGTGTAAGGCAGGAGACAATTATAGGGAACCCCAGATGTATTGCTTTGAAAACTTGCTGCTTTTGGGAGACTCATCCGTGCCTTGAGCACCTCAGTACTTTTGAGTGAGTGGTTCTGCAGTGTACCTGAGAGAAGACCTGGAGAGCTGAAAACGCGTCTGAAATACTTACTGTACTGTTAGCTATTCCTGCTCCCGTTAAACTCAGCAAACTGCCAAACTCTTTTTGTCTCCAGATGCGAGCAACAGTCTCGAGAAACTTGCTGCGTGGGGTTTCACCACAGAATTGTTATAAGGCCTGGTTTTGAAGGTGGACAGTTTTCCTCTGTATCCAGCAGAGAAAAGCTACACAGGTAGAGATGTGTCCTGTGCAGAGATTTCTACCGAGGATTGCCTGAAGCGTCTTCTGGGGCTTGATTTTTCTCTCTTCCTAAGCACCTCCGGTTATTGGCAGTATGAAAGCTGTGGGAGTTTTGAACTAGTCCCTAGTGTTGTACAGATCTGGTGAGAGCCCTCCCCACCTCAGAGCTCAATTTCTTTGGAAATTGTAAGCCTGCTTTGTCTTAAGATGAGATAGGCATGTGGAGATAGGTTATATGGGGACATTCTCACATGGCGTTTATGGACACTGAACCTCTTTCTACTCTCTCTACTGGCTTGAGAGCAAGAAGCAACAAGGCAGAAAGCAACCATAAAGAAACCGAACCCAGAATCCTCCCAAAAAAAGAACTTAAAATGGAAAGATTTTTTTTTCCCCCCCATCAGAGCATACACATATGCCTGCATGGGACTTGACTGGGGGAAATAAAGCTTTTTCCAGTCTGATATACAGTAGCCCAAATACTTAGAGGTTTTGGTAGCCCAAATACCTTGGGTTTTCAGTGCAGGGCCTGCTGTGGGCAGCTCTGGGAGCAGTGCTGCGTGGAGTACTTGGTGAGTCCTGTGCTGCTGTCTTCTCTTCCAGTCGGGGGCAGTGAACCTCTGCGTTCCTACTGGAAGATGTACTTGCCCAAAGTGCTCTTGCTGATCTATGTCGTGGACTCGGCCGATCATGCCCGACTGCCGGTGGCAAAGCAGCTGCTTCATCAACTGATCCAGAACAACTCCACCCTGCCCGTGGTGGTTCTGGCCAACAAGCAGGTAAGAGTTCCCTGCTGCTTGCTGCGCTTGGGCTGGCAGCAGCTGTGAAACAGCAACAGAGCCTTTCAGAGGAGGCTTCATGCCTTTAAGGAGGCTACACGGCTGGGAGCTGGGGAGCTGGGGGTCTTTCTGGGACACCTGTTGACCGCAAAAGAAAATAATCTGAGGTTGAGTTTTGGATCTGCAAGATGCAGATCCTGTGCTCGGAGACGGTGCAGTCAGAGCTGCGGGTGGAAATAATGGTGGAAACTGCTGTAGAGTTGCAAGGTTTGAGAGCTGCAAGGGAGACCACGGTTAGACCTGGAGTTGGGTTCCTGTTCTAAATGTCTATCTAGAAGTACCGCTTTACCTAGCAGCAGCCAAAAAGTGAAGCACTGTTATTTGCCTTCAGATTGTCCGGTTGGTTGCTCCTAAGGCTGCTGCTGAAGCACGAGAGAAGAGCAGCTTTCCTCACAAGGCAGGGCTTTCTCCCAAGGTCTCTGTGAAAGTGTCGATGACTGGTGCTGTACTTGGAATAGACTTGTGCCTGTGGTACGGTCAGATGACAGAACAGCCCAGTTTTTAAGCCCAGATTTTCCTTTTTGAGGGCTGTGCCCCATCCCTGGAAGTGTTCAAGGCCAGGTTGGATGGGGCTGGGAGCAACCTGATCTGGTGGAAGGTGTCCGGGGTGTGGACTCGATGGCCTTTAAGGTCCCTTCCAACCAAACCATTCTATGATTCTGTGTTACTAGTAGTCATTTGTGTTACTCTTGAACCCAAGTGCAGGCTTTGGCTTCATCAAACGCAAATGCTACTACTGATTCTCCAGGTCCCGGAGTCGGAAACGCCGGTGGCTGAGAAGGTGTGCAGGGCATGACTGTTGTATATTTGCACTGCTCTTGTGACTCTGCTGGGCGCTTGGGGTGCTTTTGTCTGCCTCGTACAGGTAGTCTTGCATTGTTATCAGAACTAGAATTACTAGAAGAACTGTACCTGTTTTTCTTTGGGAAGAAATTAGGTTAAGGATAAGCACTTTTCTTTTCCTGAAGCATTTCAGGGTATGGGAACTTGTTCTAATAGGAGGTACGCAAGAATGGTGACCCCATAGCCTTTGAGACCCTTCCCCTCCCTGGACAAAGGCAGTGGCTCAAAGCAACCGCCTCTTGCAACTAACAGGCTCGTTCTGGTTTTGTTTATCAGGACCTCGAAGGTGCATATTGCATCACCGATATCCACGATGCTCTGGCACTGTCTGATATTGGGGACGAGAGGAAGATGTTCTTGATTGGTACCCACGTGGCAGAAGATGGCTCTGAGATCTCCTCCAGCATGAAGGATGCCAAGGAGCTGATAGCGCAGCTGGTTTTGGAAGCAGAGTGACAGCTCTTTTCCTGCAACGTGGTATTTGCAGCTGAGGGAGATGAGGTGTTAGGGTATGGTCAGTTAGCCGCATGGTGACTGACATGTACAAATATCTTTTCCTTGTGGGTGTGGAATTCCTCTGAAAATGATGTCTAGTTGCTAAGAAGATCTAATTTATAGTGGTTTGAAAATACATTTGAAAAGTAGTATATCCTTTAGCATATTTGTAGGGGAAAATTAGTCTCTCAGACAGCAGAGTTAAGGGGCTATATAGCTTAGATGGGCTGAGATGGCTCCTTCCCAGGTGGGAATCAAGCATTGACTTCAGTGGAACAAAGCTGTATCCAGTGAATTTCACCTGGCTTGATGTCTCAGGCTTAAACTGAGGTATGTTTACTTCACAGGTTTTACAGAACCCTGTTAACAGGGTTGTTCTGTTAAAGATGAGACCTCACTTCTTGACAGTGTCAGAAATTTAAAGTGCTGCAACTAGGATTTTTTGACAGTGACAATTTTTGTTGTTGCTGTATTGGAGCAGGCTTTTAAGGAAGTGGCAAATTAGTAATCTTTGGAAATTGGGTTGGTTACTGCTTCTTTAGGAGGTAAGAACAAGAAAATGAATACAGTAAGACAGTAAGTGTGTCTTTGCCTACAGGGGAAAAAACAAACCCGTGTAATTTAACATAGTGACAATTAGGTTAAATTGGCACCAAAGATGAGAGACTCTTCCATCAGGCTGAGTGGCTTATTTCGGTTTAGTCCAGGTTGTCCTCGAGCAAGCAGTCTTACATGTGAAAAACCTGTTGTTTTTTTGAAAGTGATTTCTGTTAGCACAGCAGGCGAGGAAGACGAGTTGCTGATGAGTGTCACTCTCCCAGTGTCCTTGTAATTAGACTCCAAGAATGTGATCCAGGAGCAGTTCTGTAAAGGACCTGTTTTGCAACCACATTTATTGTATGAGGGTTTTATAGTTTTGTCCTTTGGAACAGACGCATAAAGCAGAAAATTTTACCCTAACCAGTGGTCTGGGCTTCATTTACCCGAACCAGGAATGCTGCAGGAGACACTCGAGGCCTTTCTGGGACAGCCACCTTTAAAACAGGTCTTTTCACCCACCTACAAAGGCTGGGTGCCCACCCAGCCCGCCTCTGCGGGGTCCCTGCATGTACCCCCCTGCCCACTGGGCTCAGACTTTCACTGGCAGCCGGGTTCTCGCTCCTCGGGTGCCGCTGGAGAACCAAACGCCGCGGGAGCGGTTCCCTCTGCTGCGAGGCCAGCGGGAGGGCTCCCGGGCATGGCACGGCTGGTGGGCACCGGCAGGCCCCTGGCACCGCAGGTGAGAGCATCTGCTGGGCAAAGCGATGCCAGCCCGTTGCCTGGCTGTTGCTGCCATTGGGGCAATGTGGCTCCCTGAAATCATGCCTGGTTTCCACGCAGTGCCGGTGTTGCCATGTCTCTGGTTTTCCTGCCTCCCCCTCCTTTAAAACGTGGCAGTTTGTTTTGTACTGCTGTGGAGTCCCCGTTTAATACAGCCACTACTCCCTCGAGGCTCTCAAAAGGTCCCCTTGAGGTTACTGAAGGCAATAATAAGGGGTAGCTACGTGAGCCAGGTGGGAACCTGCAGGTTAGGAGTGGCTGCTGGTGCATGTCCCAGGAGGATGATGCTACCTGGACTTGTGCAAAGTGTCTGACACTGTCCTGCACAACATCCTCACCTCTGAATTGGAGCGAGATGGATCTGAGGGATGGACCACTCGGTGGGCACGGAACTGGCTGGGTGGGCGCACTCAGGGTTGGGGTCAATGTCCGAGTGGAGAGCGGTGAGGAGTGGCGTTCCTCAGGGGTCGGGGTTGGGACCGGCGCTGTTTAACATCTCTGTGGGCGATGTGGGCAGTGAGTGGAGTGCACCCTCGGTGAGTTTGCTGACGACACCGAGCTGTGCAGTGCCGTCGACGGGCTGGAGGGAAGGGATGGCTGGTCTGGTGGAAGGTGTTCCTGCCCATGGCAGGGGTGTTGGAACTAGACAATCTTTAAGGTCCCTTCCAATCCAAACCTTTCTGTGATTCTGCGATTCCATGACTCGATGCTGTTGAGGGGATGAGGTGCTGGGGGTGCTCCATCCTACAGCCTCGAGGGCTGCCGGCACCCCCCGGTGAGGAGCAGCCATGGGAGAGGAGCACTTCACATGCAGGTGCATTGCTGCACCGGGAAGGTACGGGGGAAGAACAATACAAATACTTGCCAAGCAGTTGTATCCTGTGGAGATGTGCACGCTTCATCTGCCTTGGGATTATTTCACACTGAAGAGAGGCAGCCCAGGCTGCAGGTGTTACCAAGCTTTTAAATTCACCTCTTCTTGTCTTTGCAGTTTCTGGTTACTTGTCTGCACGCTCACACGACAGGTAAGAAACCCTCCCAGCCCTGGCTTCCTGGCTGGCTGTCCAGGCCATGTCCCACATCTCTTCAAGACATGGTTTAGTGGGTTTAGTGGGCATGGTGGCATTGGGTATACGGTTGGACTCGATGGTCTTTGAGGTCTCTTCCAACGATAAAGATTTTATGATTCTTGGGGAGGGATCGGTCGGGGATTTACGCCGAGCAGCGAGTCGATGTATCAGATGACACCATGATAAACACACAGAGGAAATGATGCCTGGTTTTCCCCTTCCCTCTGCTTCTCATGACAAACAACGTCTGACCGTCCTGCCCCTTCAAAAGAGAAGCTGTGACCCTTTGCGTTACAGGGAGCTGATCTCAAAGGGGGTTGATCCCTCTTCAGCACCGGGTCTGTGTGAGCTCAGGCAGCGGAGGGGAGGTGTTTCTGTCTCTGGCTGCTGCGAGGTCTCCTTTTCCCTGCTGGGAAGCGTGAAGCGGGATGAACGGCCACGGCCCCCCCGGGACTGTCCCCGTGTCAGTGAGGTGGCTCAGCTCCTTCAAGTTGCAGAGCTGCTGCAGGTGCGTCCTGTGTGGGGATGCCTGTCTGTCCAGAGCTTTTGCTGGGATAAAGAGTAGAAAGTAATCTTTTTTTGTAATTGGAAAAAAAAATATTTAACAGTTGTCTAGTGAGTTGAGGGACCTGGTTTGGACGCACGTGTGAGCCGTTCCTTGGCTGGGTCCTGGTGCGAGCTTTCATGCCTGTGTGTCCAGAGCTTTTGCCATGATAAAAGAGTAGAAAGTAATCTTTTGTAATTGGAAAAAAGAGTAATACTTAACAATTGTCAAGTGAGTTGAGGGACCTGGTTTGGACGCACGTGTGAGCCGTTCCTTGGCTGGGTCCTGGTGCACGCTTTGCACAGCAGTGTCCGAGGCAGCGGCGTGGGACACTGGGGCCACGTGTGCTCCGTGCTGGGTTTGGCGGTGGCTGCGTGGTGGGTCCGTGCCGGCTGGGCTGTGGGGAGGACACCTCGGCGTGGTAATCCTTCACCCCTTTGCAAGGAAAAACCTCTGAGGAGCTGCTTGGGAACGAACAGCTGAAACTGGTTTTTGGCTCCCGAAACGCCTTTGGCTGCCTTCCTGAGCGTGTCCCGTCTTGAACTGGCGGGAGGGGGCCAAAGTCCTCCCGGCAGTTCCCTCTGTGGGATCTCAGTGGGAGCCGTGTTTGCAGGGCTGTGACCGGTGTTCAGGCGTGACGGGGAGACAAGTCGGCCGGCATCTCGCAGGGAGCGTGCGGCGAGGCTGCCCTTTGCAGGGGTCTCTGTGGTGCTGAGCTCTCTGGCAAGTGTTTGCTGGGGCTCAGCATCTCACTAGAGGTACCAGCCCCATCAGAGAAACCACAGGTATTTCCCCAAAGCACAGACCGTTCTCTGTCAGCGAACATCTCTGTTGGTGTCCCTGCTCCTCTCTAGGGCTCTGCTGCCTTAGTTGCGCTGCCCAGACGCTGGGGTTTCAGGCCTGGACACTTGATCAGCACGAGCAGAGAGTGATGCCTGGGATTCCTGGAAGGTTTTGGTCTGATGAAAATTCAGTAAAAACATTTTCAGTGCTGCTCCTAGGGCACAGAGCATGTATGTTCCTGTGTCTCTATAGCATCTGTGCCAAACGGACTGAAATAAAACGCTAACTAAAGAAATACATCTTTGCCTGTCCTCCTAAAGCCGTGTGGGCAGAGTGCTGTCCCGTGGTGCCTTGCAGTAAACCACAAGGGTGCTGATAGCAGGTGTTGCTGTTCACCTGGGCTCCTGGATGCCAGGACATCATCCATCTCCTGCCTGCTGGGCTTGCATGGCGTGTTATTAACCGGGACAGCACCTTCCCTCGCTCCCTGCCGTGTCCCAAAGGGACCCTGCAGTCAGGGCGGAATTGCAAATTCCTGTCTCTGCAATCCGAGAGGGAGCACAAAAACCCATGGGCTGGTGGGTTCACCAGATGAAATGGATGGGAAGTTACTCGGAGAGAGAGATCCCTTAAGCGCACTCTGAAGGGATGGAGGCAAAGGCGCCGGGGTTCGGGAGTGTGTTCTATGGCTTGGAGTACAGCAGTAGCTTCTTTATGCTTTGTTGGTTTAACTGTATGTTCAACGGCAATGTTTGTCCTCTTCGGCAATTTTGACAGGACACAGAACCCTCGCAGAACCCAAGCAAGCGGCTTGTGCAAACGATCCCCGGGGAGGAGATGCCCCGACAGCCCTGGCTGGAGGGCTGGGGACTGATGGGACCTCCGCCAGTGCAGACCCTTTGCCTTTGTCTTGCTACTGCTTTCTTCTCAAGAGCAGAAGTGGCTCCAAAAAAACAGGTTGAGATGTTGAGCACGCGAAGGGCTCTCTTCAATTTGCTTTTTCTTGTTTTCTATCCAAAAACCGGGCTTGAGCCAAGTCTTGCCTTTGCTGCCCCATCTGAGCTGCCCCATGGAGTTGCTGTGGGGTGGGATGGTGCTGGGGGGCAATGAGACCAGACCTCGTCGGACCCACAGGCTGCTCTGTCCTGGAGGACACAGCCCGGCTTTAGGAACAGGGTTGCTGTCTGCATTATGTGGTCAAGCTATGGCTTGACAAGCCAGGGCAACAGTCTCTTGGTAACATCTCTTCTGTCACTGTGCTCAAAAAAACCCCATCGCCCTGCTGTTCCCTGTCCCGACTGCTCTGGTACCCTGTCCCACCATGGCCTTTCTCTCAGTGGGGGATGAGCAACTCCAAATTTGCCCTGGGCACAGGAGAGTAACCACTGATGTGCCGCTGCAAAACCTCACCCACTTTCCATGGCACACCCTGACCGTAACGTTATTATTATTTTTACTGTCATACCTGTGGTATGGTTAGGTGGCAATGGTGAGGCAAGAAAAATGCAATCACGAAACTCCCCCAGGGGTTTCAGAGATGTAGTGAAACGACCCTTTCTGCACACCCCCTGGTAACTGTAAAACCAGACGCATCACTTGAAGGCTCTTTTCTTTTTGAGTGGACAGCAACCACCTGGACAGGGTTAGGAAACTCGGTGCCAGAGAAGGGGAGCGCTCCGGGGATGGCAGCGGCACTTCAGAGCTGTGGGGAGCCACAGGGATGGCGTGTGGGTCCCGTCCTAGGCAGGAAGGATCACCCCAGCAAGCACATTTCACGCTTGTGCATGTTTCTGAAATTTCACACCCTTGCTGTTCTTGCTAGGCTCGTGGGGGGAAACCAAGAGACGATCTGGACCCTCTCCCGGGGTGCTGCGAGAGCTCGACTATCACCAAGAACAGCAGCGTTGGCCAAGCCCAAGCAAGATTTTGGCAAGCACCAGCGCAGGTCGGTGACGTGGTAGCACGTTTTGGGAAGGAGGCAGCTCAGAGGGTGCTCTCTGCTCCGGGGGATGTGCTGGCTCCCAGGGAAGGGGAGATGCCATCTCCTCTCCTGCCACTGCTGCTTCGCAGGGAGCTCCATGCCACTGAGACCCACTGGTGCCTGGGACCGGGGCTGTCTGTAGCAGGGGAGAAAGGGCTATGAGACCATAGTCAGCGCAGGTGCTTGACTGCCAAAATGAGGAGGAACTGGGGGATGCTAAGTTTGGGTGCCCTTTTATTTCCTCGTACCCTCTGCCTGGCTGCGGGAGGGGCTTCTGCAACACGTGGTGGTTGCTGGTCTGAGCAGAGCTCCGGGTTCGGATCAGCTGCCGTCGGAGCCAGCCTTGATCTCGGTCTGCAAGGGCACGGGAGCATCTTCCACTGCTCTAACGAAAAAACCCAACCAAGGGCTGTGCTTTGGCTTGGAGGCAGAGACATCACGTGTATGCCTGCCTTGATGGGGACATGTACGTGTCACACGTGTGCATACAGCGGGACCGTCTGTCCCCGGAGTGTTCCCTGTCCATACTGGGGCTGACGCAGCCCAGCCAGGGACCTGCACACAGTTAGGGATCCCCTGCATCCTCTTGGAGCCTGGCCTAAATCTTGAGGATAAAGATGAGGAAGTGCCATGAACAGAGAGATCTTGCAGCAATCTGCTGGCTGGAAGGCATCCAGGTCTCTTGCCTTGAGTTAGACCTCTGCTGTCACTGCACGGTGAAGAACTAGTCCATGTTTGGGAACAGAAGTGAAAAATGATGTAAAAAATGTGAACTTCAGTGGCGCTGGGTGATGGTGCATTACTTGAAGCAACTCAGCTGTAGCTCTGTTGGAGGGGGTGAAGCTCTTCTGGAGACAGGATGGTGGTTGCTAGTCTGTGGGAAGTCCTAGCAGTGGGAATAGAGAGAAAACCGTGTGGCACTCCTGGCTTTCCTCTGCCTGGAGGGATGGCAAGACACGCGTGTCTGTAGTTTTCTCTCCTCTGCCACTGTCATCAGTTCAGGGGCTCTCATCCTCCCGAGAGCTTCTGCCTCTGACGGACGGTGTCCGTCTGACAGCCCTTCCCGCTGTCCTGCTCACCTCTCCCTGGTGATGACGGGCACCTTCCAACGGTTGTGGCTGATGGAAAGCTGGGCGAGCACGCGCTGGGCAAGCCTGGGGACATCCCGAGAGGAAAGGAGCTGCAAGGGCACAAGGGGCTGTTAAGCCGTTGCCACAAAGAGGTTTCTAAATTGGCAGAGCTGAACGACAGAGATGCTGCTAGGTTTGTGTTGTGGAGTGGCTTCTTGAAACGGTCCGGGGAAAGGCTTGGACTTTGAAAGCAATGCACTGAGGGTGCTGAAAAGAGGACCCTGCGTATGCAAACAGCATTTACCTGTAAGGTCAGGAAATCTCAAGTGTAAATGCCCATTTGTTCATGGCTTTTCCGTGTGCACCGGTGCCAACTTTGGTACATACAGCAGACGTGGATGTTTAACCAGGCTGAGGACACCATCTGCCAGGATCACGTTCTCTGTCAGCTGCCTTTTACGGACTCTTCTGTGCTGTTCCTCGAGATCCCTCTTCTTGTACGGCTGTGGTCGGGAATCAACGACCTGGGAGCGTCCCCTGCTAGAGGGTTTTGGTTTCCCTTCTGATCGGCTGCTGAACTTGTCTGAACCTAAAAAATACCAGGCTGCTTACCTACAGCAAAGGTGAGAGGTAGGTCCTTGGGTCTTGTAGCATCAGTGCAGCTTCCAAGGAATAAATACCGGAGCAGAGGATGGGTATAAGAGAGGGCAAAATGCAGGGCAGGGACTGCGGGGGTTAGGAGCCCTGGACGGACTCTCTCATGGGATGAGTGGGTTCTACACTGGAAATAGCCACAAGACAGAGCTGCCTTCTGCTGCAGCGAACGTGAGGCTTGAACATCCCAGCTGCAGCCTGGTTTAACTGGTCTGGGGGGAATATCTGTGAGCGGCAGAGCCAAGTCTCTGCTTGCACCGGTCCCCGGAGTGACCTGGGAGCTGCACGGAGCTACCAGGCATCCCCGCGGATCCTGGGGCTGGCCCGGCCACAGTTCCTGCTGGCCAGAGAGGTGGGGAGGTGGCGGAGTGAGATTTGGAGGGGACAGCGATGCAGAAAACTGTCCTGAGTTTTTACACCCTGGATCCTGGATCCCTGGGATGTGCCCAGTGTGTGCTATGGAGGGGAGAAAGTGGCTGGGGGTGCCGCCTGGGGGTTGTGATACGGAGAGAAACTGCCTCTTTGGAGTGAGATGCTCTCTTTGAAAATCTCTGAGAGATGGAAAACAGCCAGGCTGGAGCAGCCTAGAATAGCAGGAGAGCCAAGGGAGGCATCTGGGCTGCATCCCCTGATAAAGCAGCCTGGGAAAGTGGAGAAACCCGATGGGAACGGCCTGTTTAGCTCCTAGGGAGCGCAGTCGTGTTCGTAGCCGGGCGGCTGTGCTCCCATCTGTGTATACAGAGGGCACGAGCCTGCAAACACGACGTGTATTTTAAGTGTTTTACCAGAAGCCTAATTTAGAGATGTATTTCTGAACTTGCTCCTTGCAGGTGGGTCATTGCTTTGGCAGGGGTGAAAGGGCTTGGGGCGATCTCAGATCACACTCATTGCCATGGCAAAGGCGAGGTTTTCTGGCTGCGGTCTCTGGGCTGGGAAAGGAGCAGGACTTGGCATCAGTAACCCTCTGAAAAATCGGGGAAGAACCACAGAGTCATAGAGCCGTTTAGATTGGAAAGGACCTTTAAGATCATCGAGTCCAACCATAAAAGAAGTCCCACGCTGGAGCAGTAATCACTTTTGCTGTAGGAATGCAGTTAGCTGCACCAGCACTTTTACCCTGAAATCTGAGCGTCTCTCCTTAGCAGGGAAATTATTGGATTCAGCCAGGAAGATAAATATGAAAAACACTACTCTGGAAGAAATTTCTCTGCACTTTTACCTGGCTACGCAGGCTCTCGTTACGGACATTGCTCTCCCGGCTGTGAGTGGGCGACAGCTGGGGAAAAAAGTAATATTGGCTAAGACGTACAAATCCCGATAGCGCTAAAATTACCTTATAGTTCAGGTTAAAGAAAAATAATGGGTGCTGGGAAAGTAAGAGTGCTCCTTCTTGTGACCATGTCTGCAGAGGCAGGGGGGTGGGTGCTCATCCCTTTGGAGAGGGAGAGTGTCCCTGTGGGCTGCGGTGGATGAGCCCTGTGTCTGCGCATCCCTCTCCCGTTCTGAACCCGAGCAGGTGCCAACACTGGGTACAAACGCGGGGGCCTTGGCCAGAGCATCCTCGCGGTTACAGCATCTCGCAGAGCCCCGGGTCAGGAAGGTGACCTGCTACTCTAAGTGTGGCTTTCGCGAATCCAGCGTCCCTGAGGACCACGCACGGCAGGGACGCCGGACAGAGGGGAGGGCACGGGAGCTCGGTCGCTGGTTGCTCTCTTCATGGCATCCCTGGATGCGCTGCTGTCTGTGAGGGTGATGTAGCTGCTTCCTGGGCTGGAAAGCAGGACTCGTCCTCTCCATCCAGAGCATGGACTGACTCCCAACAGGCATCCCCGGAGAAGGGCAGACCTGTACCCAGCCTGCAGTCGTGGGGATGGATGGGGAGAGATGGACAAGGGTCTGATTGGGCTCTCCAGAGCCGGGGAATGGGTTGGGCAAAGGGCTATGAGTAAGAGGAGGCTGGAGGGCCGGTTGTGGGACTGGCCAGGCAGCGATTTCTCCTTCCGCAGCTTGGCTGGTGCCAGACAGAGCTGTGGACAGGCTCGTGTCCCATCTGTGTGTGGTCGGTGTCTGTGAACCCGGGTACACCGAGTTGCAGGCTGGTCACCCTTGAACGCCAGGAGCACCCGTAAGGACCTTCCTCCCGTTCTTCCACAGGTTTCCAAGCTGGCACAGGAGGCAATTGTGAGCCCTCAGACCCTGGAGCTGGATCGGGCCAAAAGATTGCATCCTGACTGTGTGCCCCTGTGGGATGCTGAGTGGCCAAGTGACGAAGGCCGCAAAGCAGACGGTGGCCACACCAAGGCTCGTGGAACTGGCCCAGCCTTGCAAAAGGTACGTGCTGCTTCCCTGCCACGCGGAGATGATCAGCTCTCAGCCCGTTTTGTGCCGGCCGTGGCACCTTGTTGATTTGGGTTTGGCCAGTGTGATTAAGCCACTGCTCTTCCACTTCCAAAAGACCTGGATTTTGGGTGGCTGGATGGGCTAATGCTAGATGGATTGTGGCTTAAAAAGCGTTTTTGAGATGGAAAGAGAATCAAAAGAGAAGAGACAGGAACTTTCTAATTCCAGTAGGAATTGCTGGTTGGCACTTCTTAATTGCAATTATAAAAAGCAACCGGCTGACACGTGGCACGGTGTAGCACATTCGTGTTGCCCAGCGTGATGCCGCTGGCCTCAGCCGGGGCCGCAGGAAGGCTCTTTCAGAGGGGGGTGAGGGAATGCCTGGCTGTAGGGGCCGTGACCGCTTTGGAGAGAGATGGGGCATCCCCTCGCACTCGTGTCGCGGTGCGAGTGGTGGAGGCACGACTGCTTTTGTCCTCCCTTGGCATGGCGGGGCAGGGTTCAGAGCTGGCCGGCAGCTTTGGGAGCTGGCCCTGCTCCCGTGGGAATTGTCCGGCTCTGTCCTCGCCCCCCAAGACCTCCCATGGGCTCAGCTCGATTCAATCCAGATGTGTTCAAAGCTCAGAAGGCAACTTGTTCTGCTCGGATCCAGGACCTGGCTTGTCCGATGCGGTGCTGAGCTCCCTCAGACCCACAGCCCGCTGCCGGGGCCAGCGGCCCCCATCGCCCCTTGGAACGTCGTCGGGCTGTGCTGTGGCTGGAAAACACACCCGGAGCCGGCACGG